GATTTCGATATAGTCGGGATTTTGATAGTTGGGATTTCAAACGTCGGGATTTTGATTGTTGGGATTTTGACGTAGTTGGGATTTCAAGCGTCGGGACTTTAATACAGTCTGGATTTTGATATAGTCGGGATTTTGATTGTCGGGATTATGGTAGTCGGAATTTCGATATAGTCAGGATTTCGAACGTCGGGATTTTGACATAGTCGAGATTTCAAACGTCGGGACTTTAATACAGTCGGGATTTTAATATAGTCGGGATTTTGATTGTCGGGATTATGGTTGTAGAGATTTTGATATAGTCGGGATTTTGACGTAGTTGGGATTTCAAGCGTCGGGACTTTAATACAGTCGGGATTTTGATTGTCGGATTATGGTTGTAGAGATTTTGATATAGTCGGGATTTTGACGTAGTTGGGATTTCAAGCGTCGGGACTTTAATACAGTCGGGATTTTGATTGTCGGGATGGAGTGGATTTTGATAGTTGGTAACTCGGGCTTTAATACAGCTTTTGATTGTCGGGATTATGGTTGTAGAGATTTTGATATAGTCGAGGATTTTGACGTAGTTGGGATTTCAAGCGTCGGGACTTTAATACAGTCTGGGATTTCGATATAGTCGGGATTATGGTTGTAGAGATTTTATATAGTCGGGATTTTGTTACTAGTTGGGATTTTATCAGTAGGGATTTTGACATAGTTGGGATTTCAAGCGTCGGGACTTTAATACAGTCGGGATTTAGATACAGTCGGGATTTCGAACGTCAGGGATTTCAATACATCGGATCTTTGATTGTCGGGATTTCGATACAGTCGGGATTTCGATACAGTCAGGATTTCAATAGACGGTCTTTCGGTTGTCGGGCTTGCGATATAGACATGGCTCTGATGCGTTATGTTTCGTAAGTAATTAAGAAAAAACAAGAAGCAGAACACGACAACTGGGACTCGTTTCGTTATCCTTTTGCGGAGTTAATTATTGAATAACTTTAACTAATTGCCCATTGATTTCAAACATTATCATCATCAGTCCATTAACGTTGCATAGTTTCACGTCTGTACACATGTTTTCTTCTTGCGAACGAGATGGTGCAACATCTTGTACCTCATATCCAATTCTAGACAAATACGTCAATGTTAGACCTGTAAGTATTTAGAGATGCTTGTTTTATTACCAATAACAACTGTTGTTGTTTACTTTTATATCGAGATAAAATGATGTAGCTTTTATTTGTTTCCATGACGATTTAAAGTGAAGCTGTAATGCATTTTCCGTATATTATTTTTGTTTAAAAAAGAGAAGAAAAACTTGAACTAACAACAGTTATTATTAGTTTGAATGCAATGTCAACTCGCTAATAAGAATGTTTATGCAATTATTTAAATATTGTTTGTGTTATTGTCTGGCTGCAGTAATCTAATTTAATCTAACCTTACATTGAATTTGTTTTTGTTGCAAATTTCGATTTTATACACTTATTATTTAAGTTTAATTAAATTGTGCGTGTTTACAATTGAAATGATTAAGTTGATTGAAATGAATGAGAAATAGTTTTGTCCATAGGTATGTTGAATAAATTGCAATGTTAAAATTAATTAATATGTATATTTATTCATTTATTTACTTATTTACATAATGTTTGTCGCGCGCTTACGTTTATTCAGTAAAAATTAAATTAAAAATAATAATAATAATAATATATATATAACAGTGAAATAATTGGAATTAAATAAAAACAGGTTTTTCTACATCTTCTTCTGATAAAAACCTAATAAAATAATAATATTGTTTTACCTAATGATAAATTTACGTACTAATTAAACTAATTAATTAGATCTCATTACGATTATTTTGTTGTAGTTTTGTATAATTATAATTTAAGTAGAAGTGCGGCTAAGATTGTGATCGAGAGGGCTTTTGTGGATGGTGTGAGAGTTGCTGAAGCGCTCGTCTTTGCCATCATCTCCATCGTGTGCTCTTCCGTGTGATGTGCCGATCTTCTCGTTCTCGTTCTTAACGAGTCTTCGATTTTGTCCTCGTCTTCTTCCAGGTTTCTGATGAGTTTCAGCTTCGTCACCGGTTGCACCGGAGTGTCCAGTTGCCTGTTCAGCACTCTGGTTTGCAATTGCGGAGCGTTCGGGTCCACGCGATGGTTCAACGGTGGTAATTCCCCTTTGAACGGAAGGAATTGTGGACGCGCTTTGAGGTATTCGGTGGCTTTCGAAGATCTTCCACCTAGAACGCTTCTCTGGTCTCCGGCTCTGACGGTGAGACTCGATCCGGATAACTTTTTACCGTCGTAGGTGACGACGGTGCTCGGCGCTTCTTCCACTACTTTAGGTTTCATTCTTTGATTTGCTGGTGGTAGATAATAAGATTCGACTCTTTCGTTTGCAGACGTTTCGATGCTTTCATCTCTGACGTTCCTCGGTTGCTTCGCGGAAAACAGAGGCGACTTCTTTTTCGATTTCTTCACGTCTATCGTCGGTGATGGTATGAACATTGGTTCGAAGAAGACGGTCGGTTTCTGGTTTTCGTTGGTGTTGTTTGTAGCTGTCTCGTCGATTATTCCAACTTCGCTTTCGAACTCCAATTCTGGTCCTTCTTCCTCGACCATCCTGTGCTCGATTTCCTTCGTGATGATTGGTTTGAATCCGCTCTCGATGACCACCGAAGCCGGATTGAAGCCGGTGTTGATTGCCGGTCTCATCACTTCGTATTGGACGTTCTGCTGCATGATTGTTGATTTTTCCGTTTGACCGTTCGGTTCTTTCTCGGTGGAAGCCTGTTTCGGTGAGATCTCGATGTCCATGGGTTTTGGTACGTGCACCATAGGTTGCTTCAGCATCACCATCGGGCGATGGTTCATGACGATGGGTCGTTTCGCCGGTCTGTAGTAAGGTTTCTTCGGTGGCATCCGTTGCAGCATGGGTCTCTGAGGTTTCGCAACGAACGGTGGGCGAATGTTCATCGGGACGGGTCTCCTCACTTTGATGGGTTTCTTCAATTCTTCCTCCGGATTGAAGACTTTATCCATTTCCATCTTGGGCAGCTCTTGGATGAAGGCCGGTTTCGTCGCTTCTAAATCCATGTAGGAGAAGGAGATTTTCGTCGTGGTTTCTTCCTCCTTGTTGATGACCTCTTCGATACCGTTGGGTTTGACTCGCGTTTCAACGCGAATCGAAGGTGCGTCTGCTAAATCCTCGACGATCTCGCTGGCCGCTCCCTCTGCATCGCAATCATCCAACACGTTGATCTTCCAGCCGAGGTATCTGTGCGTGAAGCACTGCAGAAGAAATTGATTAATCACTGTATGTGACCAGTTATACACGTCGCATTTATTCACCTGGTAGTAAACAGTGTCAGGTGTATCCTTGTCGGGAGTCCACTGGATGACTCCAGGTTCACCCTGATCGCACTTCAGCTCCAAAGTCCTCTGGTAAGCACCGAAGGATTCAAAGTCATCAGCATCGGAATCACCTTGATGGGTCCAGTGGCAAAGTCTGCCCACTCCAGTCGGTTGAGCGCTTCCATCCTTGGCCTTCCTGACACCAGCGAAGATCTTCACGCTCTGAAAACAAACATTATTAATGACGTATCCATAGCAACAAAGTAACCATCATACCTTTTTCTCTTCGTCAGTCTTATGTTCGTATCCTCCCACGGAATCGTCGGTGATGTAGAACGGATGGTATTTGGCTGGAGTTTCCGGATCGAAGCCTCCCTCCACCACGAAGGTGTAAGTTTTTCCTCTGACCACGTTGATTTCTGGGATGAGGAGTCCGTTGATGTACCAGGAGATTCCCCAGCCTACATGACCTGAATTCGATTCTTCCATAAACTTTCATATCGCGTTAACTGCGATCAAATACCTGTGATTGCTGGGTATCCTCTTTTACCACCGGTTGGTCCCATCTGCGCGTAGAAGACACCATCATCCGGTTCGTGGCATTGAATCGCTGGGATGTCCCAAGCGTTCCTGTTGGACACCGGCTTCGGCGTAGGGACTGGTCTCCTCCTCTCCGTGTTCTTCGTCCTAGATGCGCTCTTCTCCGAATCCTTGACTTCAGTAGTCGAACGATTCGGTCCTCTCCTCCTCTCGTTGTTCCTCGTCCTCTTCGGAGGCTCTTGAACTATAACCTCTTCCTCATGTTCTTCCTCTTCAGCGACGTAAGTCTGCTGCACTGGTTGCTGCACTGGTGTCTTCGCAGTTACAGGTTTCATCGGCGGCTGATCACCCTCCGGCATCGGACAGTTCCATTTCGCGGCTCTGCCGAAATCGATGAATTTGTCCTTCTTGTTGAATTGGCTGTGGAAGGACACTTCGTTCCTCTGGTTCAGAGGTCCCAACGCCCAGATGACCGGTTGCGATTGGTTGGTGAAAATCTGCTTGTCGTACTGATCGGATGGTCGCAGCGGCCTCTGATACGTAACAATCGAATAACCGTTCACCATGGCAGCGTTCAACAATCTAATATTGTTGGTGTTATCCTGAAACAGTTTCGTTTTAGTCCAATTCATTCATTATTCGATTCAACTTACGGATATTCTTGTATCCGGACACGAGCCTTTCTTTCCCGAACATTGCGATTTAGCATCCAGGTGATAATCTTCTGCGTATCCTTTCAGTGTCTCCTTGTCCACCCACGCAACGACTACATCTCCGCCGACCATGGCACTCCTCTCATCCTCTCCGGATACACCGAAAGACATGTACTCACGATTTTCTGCGCAAAAAAAAACAAACACAACATAAGAGATCGTTACGTAAATGTCAGCAGGTTTCACTTTCTTCTTGCGGAGAGTCCAATGAACTACAACCACGCACGGAGAAAGCGATGATTGAAGACGAGTCTTACCTAATTTGGAGACGAGCTGGAGGACGATGCTGTCCCCTGCGACGGCCCATCTGACTTCGAACGCAAAATCGTCGTGAAGAACCTCGCAATTCAATTTCGACTGAAAACAAACACGTTTAGAGAAAACATCGATATTCATTGTTGTTTTTTATTCAAATAAAATAATTTTATACAAAAAAAAATAATTATATATATACATTATATAATTTGCGTAATACGAAATTGAGATATGTCGTTGTTCTTGTTCAAAAGAGAGAGAGAGAGAGAAAAAACTACTACTGGCCCGTTTTGTTTTCTATGATGCGATTTGGATTTTTATTTTATTTTATTGATGATTATTTTCTGTTAATTTTTTTGTACTTTTTTTTATTATTTCGAGGGGATTTCATTTGGGGAGGAATTGTTGTTTCTTCATTTTCATTGAAAATGATTTGTGTTTTTTTTTTTTCTTTGTTAATACTGGTCTAGCTTTGGAGGGAAGCGTTAAAATTGTCGAGACACCCTGTACGTACACTTAAATAATAATAGATCAAGGAGACAACGAACAGCTTTTGTTTCGTTACAATCCACATCCTTATATCGTCTTTTGTTTTAACAATTGCAACTGGAAATAGATTTTCAATTTTCCTTTTTGTTTCTCTCCTTCTTTAATTCTTTTGAGATTCATTTTCACTTTTAGTATAAATCGAATTTTACCCAGCGAATGACAAATTTTTCTTCTTTCGATTTCATTGTAAATTTAAACTAAACCTAAAATTTTTGATATACTAAAGTAGTTACGTAATAATACTATATATACATTTTTTTTACTTGGATTATCACTAGAAATTCCGATAAAGACAAATAGTAAAGGAAGTGTTCATTGAAACAAATGATTAATAAATACAGTTGCGAAAATCGTCTCATTTAGCAATGCGTTAGGTAATGATTTCGCTTCAATTTTGAAAGTGAAAGGTTTGCGGAAAACGAAAAAAAATAAGAAAGAGAATAGAGTTGCTCTTCTTTGCTGAGATTTCATCAGGTCAATCTGAAAGTGGAATCTCGTCGTACAAAGCAATTGCTCAAACAATAGTAATAGTGGTGATGATTGTGTGGTTGTAAGAGTATCAAGTAACGAGGAAAAACAATCCGTTGTCTAGGTGATATTATGTGGGAAAGGGGGGGAACGGTGGAAGCGTATACTAATTAAAGCTTGTATTAAAGAAGATAGTCGTAAGATAAAGAGTGGAGAATTGATGCGCGAGTGTGTCTATCCAAATCTGGCGTGAGGGATGTCCAAGTGATGATACTGGTGTATCTGATTTTGATTGTAGTTGTTGGAGGTGGTCGTCGTGTAGAATGGGGTGTAGGGGACGGGATTTCTAGGTTGCAGCTGAATTTGTTGGGGGTCGTAACCGCCGAGGATTTGGAAGAATTGCGATTGATATTGCTGTTGTTGTTGTGGTTGTTGTTGAGACTGCTGAAGAAGTTGCTGTTGAGGTATGGAATTATGTTGGCTGTAGATGTCGCGATTGACGAGGGGATGAGGATGAGCCTGGTCGCTCCTCCTGAGTATGGAGAGTCGAGGTCTGTAAGTGGTGGCCTCTATTTGGACACCACCTCCGCCGCCGCCCCCAACTACAGGTGTCGCTGCCGGTCTTCGCGAAGTACCAACGCCGACAACAGAAACAGGCTTCTGCAACAACAGAAACAGGATTTTATCACCTCTAGCGGGGGGCGGCGATGGCAAAATCCCAAATTTGCAGAGCAACCAAATTTAAAAAAAAAAAACAACACCACTATCCTCATCTATCTCCACCTCTTCCTCATCCCCAAAATAAGCGAAAGAAAGCAACGCAACGCAACAGAAACAGACAAACAAACATCGTTATATCAAAGATTTACCTGAGGGCTGACGCCGAGCATCTTCAGAGACGGTGGAATGTTGAGACTCTGCGGAACCTGGACGTGTCCAAAGTCCACAGTGAAGGCTTCACACCAGATACCGAAGTGACCGATGTCGAAGACGGTTAAATCACCGGGAAGAGTTAAAACCACCGTCTTCCTATCGTACTTCCTCAGAGGCATGATTTTACCGTTTTCGTCTGGAACTCTGATACCTTGAGGACTGGGTTTGGAGCCGCTTCCCACCCAGAATTTCGCATCTGCACAAAAAATATAAAATGTTAATAATCTATTTCATTTTGCAATTGTTGACAAATCAAGAACCTGGGGCTTCTCCATCGTAGGACAGGTTCGGTACGAGCAAAGTTTGGGCGTCGACGATGACGATGTTGTCTGAGTTCACGGCGTGAACACCTCGCAGAGCGTCGATCTTCTGCGGTCTCGGATAGTCGAAGTTCCTCGGGATCTTAACATCTCCGAAATTAACCTAAAACAAAGATCAGACAATCACTAATTAATGATTTTGTAAGACAAAATACAAATTACAAGACAAAGAATGAAACCTTGAGGAACTCCTATTGTAGTTACGCAATTTACTCGTTTGTTGTACTGATTTCTCGTGGATTCCATAAGAAAACGTTTATCTCTTTGTCGATTACCTTAAATAGATCCAGGAAGATCCATTGCGAAAATTGTTATGAAACATTTCTTCTTTAAAAAAATAAATAAAAGTAATTCGAAGATTATCCTATTGTTTTCCTCTTTCCATTAATTTCTTTTCTATTACTTTGATTATTTCTTTGCTTTGATTTTCACTCGTTTCTTACATCTCAGTAGATTTATGTAATTTTCTCCTCGTTACATTTCATTGATTTCGCCTACTTTTCTCATTTCCTGTTGTTTTTCTATCAATCTTAACTTTTCCTTGTTACGTATTTTTTTTTGTTTAAATTATTTAATTTGTAATGGTAATTGTTCACTTTGTCCTATATTTAATCGGAATTGTCTCTAGTTGATGATAATAATACCGAAAATTAAAAGCTTTCAGCTTAGGAAGAGAAACCTCTTCTCCTTTCCCCCCGTTGACTACGTCAACATCAAAAGGGCCGCTTCCCTGAACGAGTGCAAATTACATCTACCCTTTCCCATTCATTTTCGTCCATCATCAAGTATTCCGTTTCAGACCAGAGATTTATGTCGCTTGCCTTTTTTTCTCTTCTCTTCTCTCTTGTTTTTTTTTTATAGTCGTTGTTTTGTTAAATGTATATAATTTTTCCAGCGTAATATGATCATAATGAGTTGGCGGAAAGTGAAAGCATAATATCTCAGTGCTCGTTGTTGCGAGATTTGTGTCGAGCATTAAACAACCTCAGCTGCTCGGACGGATTGGTGGTGGTGGTGGATCGTTCCCATTAATTCACACGTAGAAAGACCGTTCTCTCTTCCTTCCTTCCACCCTTTTCAATCACAATTTCATCACTTAACTAAATTTTCTTTGCTTGTTTTTTTTTGGTTTAAATATATAAGGTTTTCCCTTCGTCTTAATCAGACTGCGACTGAATTGATGTAACAGTTAAACTCACAAGTTTTCATATAGTTTGCAAAGAAATATGAATGCATTGGAATAACAAATGAAATTAAACAAAATTTAGAAAGCAAATTTTCAGAATAACTATCAAACTTTTTCATATACTTTATGATTACATAAGAAGCGATTTTCTATTGAGCATCTCTCGATTTAACAATTGTTAAGTGATGATAATTATTGATTCGGATATGGAGATTTTTCTAATTTATTGTCTACAGCTAAATTAAACATAAACAGCAAATAAAGCATAAACCATAAAGCTATGGTGAACAAATTAATGATTGCAATTAGTGGCGCCATCTAATTGTAATAGATGCACTATAAGATGATATAATAGTTTAATTTCTGATTCAATTATTAATTAGATGTGAAAATTTAATTATAGTAATTCAGTTTTTGTTCTTTTGATGTTGTCCAATCGATGCTGAAATTCATTCCAAGGTGGTGCAAATAATCTTCCAATCATTTTACGGCGAACCTCATTTTATTATTTACACGGTGCAAATGCATTAATTAACCGTTTCCTCGCGGCGGTTCTTGCGCAAACGTTAAAAAATTGCGTTATTGTTGTTATTATTATTGTACACTGTGAGATGTTAAAGAGAGAGAAAGAGAGGGTTATTAAATAATTATGGCATCGAATAGGAATGTGTGCCAGAGAACAGCCTTCGCAGATTTCATCTGCAACGAGAGGAAATTGCGTTCCCTTCTCTTCTTCGCATATCCGATTCTCCTCCGATCGATCGATTGATTATCAATGATGATGATGATGATGATGATGATGATGTACTCACCTCGAATTCTTCGCACCAGACCGAGAACCATTTGATGGTGTTGAGTGTTTTTCCATCCGGAAGGGTAATGGTGACGCCTTCCTTTCTGTAGCGTCTCAGCACTTCCGGACTTCCGTTCTCGTCGCGGATCCGGAAGCCGGTGTTTCCCGGGGAACGGGAGTTTCCGGCGAAGAAGTAGGCCGCTGCGAGACAAAAAAACAAAAAGCGAAATTAAAGAAATTTGAATGAAGAGAGAGAGAAAACATTATATAATGACGAAGAAAGGACGAAACGCGTGTACATATATATATATTATTAATAAATGCGGAGAGTGCAGAAGAGACGGGAGACTTAATTAAACGCAAACGGAAGGGCGAACCCTGACTTACGGGGGAATTTAATTAGCGCAAACAAAAACGGTCGAGGATGATGATGATGAAGAAGAAGCTATGTGTGTGTGTGGGGGTTCCACGGGTTTCCCGTCTCGTCCCGTTCGCTCGACCATCGTTCCATTGTTTTCGCAGGACCGGGAACGGCGAAAAGGGCACTTTTCATGCCCACCACAGCGATTCTTAATTGCTTTCCAGAGCCGCCTGCATTTTCGTTATAATGAGAGAAAGAGAGAGAGAGAGAGGGATGGGAAGAGGTGGTTGGTTTCGGGTAAAATTTTGCCCGATCCGCAGATTTTCGCGACGCGCAATATAATTTTTGCGTCCGTACAAATAGTTGCCTCAATTTTAATTTAATTTTAGTATAGCTTAAAATTTTTGGAAATTTTCATTTTTCAGAATAACTATCAAACTTTTTCTTATACTTTATGATTACATAAGAAGCGATTTTCTATTGCTTGATTTAACAATTGTTAAGTAATGATAATTATTGATTCAGATATGGAGATTTTTCTAATTTATTTTCTACAGGTAAATTAATAAAGAATCGAGTAATTGCAGCCCCCATTTCTCATCATCAAATATGACCTAAACAATGGTAAGGGCATTAAGTACATTATTATTTTTCCCTTCCTTTCCGTTCGTGTGCATTTCGTCCTCGATATGCCGTGCCAAGATGAAATTCTATACATTAAGAGAGGGCCCATTTTGTGCCCTTTAACCTTAATCTGAGGTCCGAATCTCAGGTCACCCCACACACACACCGATTATTTATTATTTATAGTCCAAAACTCCCCTTCGCTCACTAATTGAATCACGTATTCCGCTTTTTTGTGTTTGGACTCTCCATTGCCATGGATACAGTCCGCATCTCTTCAAATTTACATCAATACACCTTCGGACCCAATCAATTGTTTCATTCAACCCTTTTCTTTGTACAGTTAAACGTTATTTCCCCAGCTAATTCAGTGATTCAAGCGATTTGGGTTGCCTACAATAAATCACTAGTTTTTCGCCTACTTACGTAAATCATGCATATTTCAATAAAACGTAAAAGTCTTAATTCATTTTGCGACTTGAATGGAATCGTGAATGCAGTTAATAAACTTGTGCGGGTATTGTTAATGATACAGATTTATCTGGACAATTTCAGAATGCGATTTCTCTTTTGCTGCCGCCAGCAAAGTCAATGGAAATTCCATCAAGGGAAATGTACACGCGCGAAACATATTCATTTGTATTAGAGAGTCGAACCGAAATTAATTTCGTTCCGGTTTACGGTTCATCGTTCCAGATTCGGTTTCGGTTTGTCTAAAAATTTCGGTTCAGTTTTAAATTTAAAATCGATAGAAAAGCAATTCATTTCCGGTTTACGATTACGTTACAAGTAAATGTTCATCGTTCCAGATTCGGTTTCGGTTCGTCTAATAATTTCGGTTAAGTTTTAAATTTAAAATCGATAGAAAAGCAATTAATTTCGTTCCGGTTTACGGTTACGTTACAAGTAAATGTTCATCGTTCCAGATTCGGTTTCGGTTCGTCTAATAATTTCGGTTCAGTTCCTGTTCCGGTTGAAATTTAAATTTAAAATCAATAGAAAAGCAATTTAAATTTCCTTTACTGTTGTTTTCAATTATAAAATTGAAAATATTAAAGAATAAACCTCAATTACACGCACACGCACTTTGTAATGTTTCTACAATCGTGTTTACAATAATATAGATTTGTGCTTGCACTTTCTTCTTCAATTCAATTGTTATTCAGAGTATTCATAGAGACTTCATAGATGTCTCTTCTGACCAAACCAAAACACTAGCAACAGCACATTACCATCAAAGAGTATACATGAAAGAAACGAAATTAACGTAATTAACCGTAATTAAAATTTCGTTCCGGTTTTTTCAATTGAGCAATTTTTTGTTCCGGTGACAGTTACGGTTCAGTTAAAAATTCCGGTTAATTCCGGTTTACGGTTTCTGATTTGGATCAAGCGAATATCAAACGGTAACATTATAATTAACATCTAATTCTATTTATATCATAACGAAATTCGAATGGCAAATTAATTATTCCGCAGGAAATGTTATTATTTTTTTTGGAGTTTCCTGTTTGAAACGCGAATCGGAGTTGATATTTATTTCACATTTAAATTTTTATGGTGAAAAGTTTTCGCTGTTACTCGATTTTGATTTGTTTTATTGAGCAAGGTAAGGTAATATGATTGGCAGGAAGTTGTTAAGATTGTAACAGGAAATCGGGTTTCGTTTGATTTGAAATTGAAGAAGTAGAAATGTGTTAATTATGCAGATAAGTTGAACGGATTTCGCGCATTAGTTTTACATGATTTCTTGCAAAATTTCAATTTCAACAACATTTTCTCATAATAATATTTCTTGTAGCTTGAAAAATTGAATTAAATCTTCCAAAAAGCATTGTTTTTGCTCTTAAAAAGTTCAATAATTCTTCTTCAGATTATCTCTAATATCTTCAAAAATAATTCAGTCACTATAACAATTTTATGCACTAATTAAAGATAAATAAAAAAGGAATTTAGTGAGTGTATTTTCATTGTTGTGGTGTCAATGGTTTTCTTGTAAATCGCTTCTAAACTTTACAATTTTACATGTACATTTTATTTTATTGCCCGTTTACATTGTACAATTAACAGCGTGCATTCCATTAGGTCGTGTAATTAAACTGAATGCGTAATTAGAATTCGAAATGAAACAAGAGAAAAAACAAGAAGTAATAATACATAGGAAGTAAACTATGTGATGGTAGTAGTAGTTTCAATGTAGAGCACGTTCTATTATTACTGGAGGGAAAATACGGAACAAGAGAGAGAGATGTTGGGTTTAATTAAAAAGTAAAGATGTTAATTAGCATCGACGAATTATTATTTTTTTTTTCTTCTTCGTTGCGCGATTAATTGCCTGGCAATTAGGCTGCGAAATGCGTAATTAAGAACTGCTTTTAATTGCAAATTCCTCCTACAAATGCAAGATTAAAAGAAAAATATGAAGATAATATAAGAAAGACGAAGAGAAGAAAACGTTTAGTTTTACATTCTTCGCGCGACAAAATTATTGGTGCGGTGATTTTTTAATGTATCATAATTATTAAGTTTTAATGAGGTTTTAACTGCACTAAGTATTAAAGATTAATTGGAAATTAAATAAATTTGAAAATTAGTTTGAGAAACTTTTTTTGTTTAATATTTCAAACTTATTATTTATTTAAACAAAACACTAATTTCTATGTTTTTCTTTTGTTTTGCAGATCGATGCTCTAAATTTCATTTCAAGGTACGTTTGTTTTTTTTTTATGTTTTGCAAAATTTTGTTTCCGAATCGAGTGACGCTCGTATAAGTTCAATTGTCTATACAAATTACTACTTAAGCTACGCTTTTGTTTTTTTTTTGTTTGTTTGGATGATATAACAAGTGAGTTTAAGCTCGGTTCAGTTGTTGTTTAGTCATCGTCGTTGACGACGACGAGCGAATTTTACTTCTAACGCCGTTTTTGAGTCATCCGATAATAACCGGTGAGGTGAGTTCAATTGAGTATAATTAACGATGCGTTTAACAAGCGATTATTTACGCGATCTTCGATCGATTGTATTGTCGATGCTCGTCCTTCGGTAATTAACAATTTGTGTTATTGTTTTACGATAAAAAAGTGATAACAATTGCATCTATTATATAACTAATATGTATATTTGTTAGGTCTACAACTTTCCTCTTAATTATTACAAATCATATTTAACGTATCCATCAAATATACAAACGGATACTTGTTATTATTTAGAATAACTTGTGGAATATTCTGAAGGACGTTTACACTTGAAATCGTATAGTTGCGTCTATTGTATCACCACTTAACAGGCGTCTTCAGCCCCTAAATATTTGGGGTAAGATCATAAAAGTTAGATAAAGAAACGGTTGTATATTCCACAAGCTCAAAACTGATTTCCTTGCAGCCCCTTTTTCAAATGGATACATTTTTGTATTATATAATTTAGTCTTAATCAGGGGATCGAAAAGAGAGGAAGTCTTCGAACATGGTCTTACTTGGGAGAGTCCAAGGAAGAGCACTTACTTCATAAATATTAACTTAAGAGGAGAATGTAACTTTTAGTTAATAATACCTGAGAGCAACTATTGTATAATTGACTTCTAATATTCATAAACCCCTCTAAGACGCCACAACGACATAATTACGAGATAATCTATAGTGTCCAAGGATTTCTTAATCCCGGGACACTAGGATACAAAAATTAATACCTATAATTTGCGTATAATATTGCGTATACTTGAATTAAAGTTAGGTAAATGAAGTGAACTTAGTATATTTATCAATAGAGTTTATTTTCTTGTAATTTGATTATTCTTTTTATTTCTTTTGGATGAATTTGTGCGATACTGTCGCCCCACGTTGGGCACCAAATTTCATTTTTGTAATACACAACGAAACTTTCAATTGCTAAAATCTCCCGCTCGGTTTCAATCTATTTCCTTGCGAGAATCGTTTCGAAGCGGTCTTCACTCGATCATCCTCAATATGATGAAGATGATGATGATTATAAGCAAAATTAATAATGGAAAGAGAGGCAGTGTCTTCACATTTTAGTAATTTTCTCAGAAACTATACTAGATAGAATAGATCCAAAAGATGCATATGAAACTAGGATGTTTGGAGAATGTAGTGATACTGTCGCCCCACGTTGGGCACCAAATTTCATTTTTGTAATACACAACGAAACTTTCAATCACGACAATTTGCTACAATCTCCCGCTCGGTTTCAATCTATTTCCTTGCGAGAACCGTTTCGAAGCGGTCTTTACTCGATCATCCTCAATATGATGATGATTATAAGCGAAGTTGAGGTGGTGTGAGATTTTCGAAAGGATTGCATTTGGAAAGGATGGGCAAAAGTAAAGGCAGATTAATATGCATTAACTGCGGTAAATCACCGGTTCGCGTCGAATCTGGGTCGGGCAATTTCTTTCTTTCAATTACGCAACGGCTGCCGCTGCTGGTGCCCTCTCGGAACACATTTTAACGCCTCTCGCCAAAACCAGACACGGCCAAAACGGCTGTTAACCGTCCGCATCGAACGTAAAACCGTATTACATGGACCGGTAATGTCCTTTGGGCATAACTACATCTCGCGCGCACCGAGACCGACTGATGTGTAATCGAATTGATTAGAATCTTGTTTAGCGGATAAATGGAGTTTGTATGTGAATGAGAGAGAGAGAGAGAGAGAGCAGAAGAGAATGGGAGAGATACATGTAGATGTAGATCCGCTAATTATTTTGCCTTTCCGGACAACCGGATTAAACCCGAACAGACAGAGAGACAGAGAGAGAGAGAGCGAGAGACACGGATCCAATTTCATCTGCATTTAATTAACAACAAAAAGGGAAACTTGCCTCTTGTTTGCTTCGATTTCGAAGACAACAGATGGCGTACTTCTCGAGCAATCCACTTAATTAATGTTCACGAAAATTACACGAAACATTACGAAGTAATTACAGCTAATATTCATTCTGTATTGAAACAGAATTAACAATTCAAAGATATTTCACGTTTCCGGCATGCAACCAAACCGACGTCCTTGCAAATACAATTGCCTAATTACGAAATTTTAACGTTTTAATTTAAAATCGCCATAACTGTACAATGAGTAATTTTGATTAATTAAAAAGTTAATTTAAATTTAGTTCTTACCTGGTCCTTGTCCATCGTACGTGAAGTCCTTGATGTGTAAAGTTCTCGAGTCGACTGCGTACACTTCGCCGGAAACGCCGTGATGCAGTTCAGTCAGTTTTCCCAAAAATTTCCCCAGGTATTCGGCGGAATTCGCGTTTCCAGCTAATCCTGCAAAAAACGACGAAGTAAATTAGTTTCTTTGCACGATAAGAAAAAACCGGTTCTTTTTGTTGCTATTATTATCCTTATTCATATTTCTCGTTTCTGCGCAAGGTTACGTAAAACGCTTTGAGAACACACTTTATTATTAATTTATTGCAAATTCTTCGAGGTAAAAGTTGCCAAGTTTTGTTTGTCTCTCGCTTTGTTTCTTTTTTTCTTTCGCCTCCAACTTGATTTCTGAATGTAAAACACAGATTTTTATTGCATTCCTCGTTCCGAGTTATATAAATGAGTTAATTGGAAAAAAATAGAATATTCATATTAAAGCATTCATATCAAGTAATTTTCTTCGTTTGGCGAAGCAAAAGTGTCTTCACATTTTAGTGATTTTCTCATAAACTATAATAGATAGAATAGATCCAAAAGATACATATGAAACTAGGATGTTTAGAGAATGTAGCGAGTATTCATACATTGCTATGGTATTATCTGTTAAGCTGTAATTCACTTTCATATATAAAGTAATGAAAAATTAATAATGGAAAGTGGAAATGTCTTCAGATTTTAGTGATTTTTTCAAAAACTATACTAGATAGAATAGATCCAAAAGATGCATATGAAACTAGGATGTTTGAGGAATCTAGCAAGTATAGATATTACTGTGGTTTCATAATTATGGTTGTAATTCGCGTTCAAAGTTGAAAAAATGAAAAAAAAAGCAGTGTTTCATTGATTTTCTCAGAAACTGTACTAGATAGGATAGATCTAAAAGATGCATATGAAACTAGGATGTTTGAGGAATGTAACGAGTATTCATACAATGCTATAGTTTTATCTATTTAGCTGTAATTCACTTTCATATATAAAGTAATAAAAAATTGACTTTTTGTAGTGGAAATATTTAAATTGTAACAATGTTTTTAAGGAGCGTATAAAGTATTAATCGTCTTTAGACTTTAGATAAAGACCAGTTTTGTTCGTTAATTCCCGTTTCTGCTTCGATGGAAATAAATGTAACGGATCTAAAGAAATTCAATCGAAGAAGAAACGGTTGTTTTTTTTCACACTCTTCCTTATTTAGATAATTTTGTTTACAATTTTAGTAATTAAACCAATATAATCGATTAATTAAAGAAATTAAATCCATTGGAGTCATTAAATTAAATGTTAAGTTATAGTTTATAGTGGGCAAATTGGGTTACGTGTATATACAGACTTACTAATAACAATTAGTTAAATCGTTAAATGTAATTGTAATCAATATATGTTATAGTGAAATTATATCATTAGTTGATTATTTGAATTGATGTTGTTTCTTCAGATTGGTAGATCGAATTTTAAGTGCGGGAAATTGAAATTGCCGCAACTTCTTGAGTATAAGTAATTCTTGGATTGGTGGTGGTAGTTCCAATTAGCGGTCAGACGTTCTTCGATATCCTCGGATAAAAGAGATAAGGTGGCTATGTGAGCGAATGCATGTGGGAGGAGGAGGTGGAGGAGGGTAAAATTCCTAATTGGATAATCTCCTTTGGAGGCTTTTCCAATTTCAATCGCATCCATCGGAGGCGGCTGTGGCGGCTACACAGAGAGAGAGAGAGAGAGAGAGAGGAATTGCGAAGTGGAAAACCATCGGAGTTCGGATACAGCGCCGCGCACATCGACAAGCCACAATTAGTCTTCAGATAATTGCCACTTAGTGCAGAACTAAATTAATGGTCTGCAGCAGCGGCAATCGAAGCGAAGAAACGAACTACAATATACTCTCTCTATTGTACTGACTCTGTGCATTGCACTGTGGAAGGAAGAAGGACCGTTCCTTTTACCTCCTCCTCATCATCACCAACAAATCGATCAATCAAATAAAGAGCTTTCTCTTGCACGAATCCAAAGCTAAGCCTCAATAATTTATTTTTTTTTTGTTGCTCATTTACTTGCCAGTAATTACACAAGAAGTGCGGTGATTTTGAAAAAACAACAAGAGAAAAAAAAAGGATTGTGTTTTGTTTATAAATAAATGTACGCACACTGCACACTGCACACGTTCGCGTGACATTTAGAAACAAGGACGAGGATAAGTGATCATAAATTTGCAGCCGCTTTTGCTGGGTTTAGGAGAGGAGAAGAGCAAAAAAAAGAAGAAGTAATCATCTCGGTTTTACGCGGAAAGAGAATGTGAGTTTGGTTGCTAGATTCTCATGAATGCAGCAATAATAATAATGAAATGGACACTCGATTCGTTTCATTTCTTTATTATATAGTGGATCAAAAGTAAAAGTGCTGAAGAATCGTTGAAAAAAAAAACTAATTGAAATGAGCAATTGTATTTATTAATACATTTGAATTAGTATTGGAGTATATACTTGAATGGTTTTTAATGTGTGGAGGCTTTCCAAAATCCTCGAAGTAAATTAAATTCAAATTAAGTTCTCTTTCGAAATTGAAAATGATCGTTAAACGGAGCAGACTCTGCAAACGCCAAAGTGCAATGGAAATGTTCAATTTCGTAGACAAACAATGAATTTTAATGAATTAGTTTTTTTAAATATATAGATAGTTTCGTCACCTTGATTCAATCTAGATCAATCTATAAATATTTATCCGTGTCTTATGCAATTCATTGAAAATTTACAATCATAAAATTACATAGCAATTAATTATGATTGTTTTGTACAAGCGATACAAATTTTATAATTACTTATTTTTTTTTGGTTGTTGTTATTTTTAAATTTCAATTTAATGGATTTCATGAAATATTTATGTCGTTACGTAACAGCCATTTTGACTACTATTCGCATTACGAAATAAGGTTAAAGGTTGCCCTTAGCAACGGAGGCGTGTGTCTCTCTCTCTCTCAAATTATTTCCAGATGCATTTGTTGTTGTTGTTGTTTTTGAATTCGTTGTCATAACAACTTAATTATTAATTACGCGACGTGAATGATGCTGCAATTATTAATTACATCGTTTTTAATAACTAATAAAAATGTGCTGCATTAAACTTTAATTGATAATTAATTCATTAATTAATTATATAATTTAAAACAAACTGAAATTCATTTGTTTTATATGATTTTAATTAAAATTAATTGATTTGTTTTGCTGCATTTTCACAATAATTAATTTATTTTGAAATTACGTTTTTTTTTTCAATTATTAATTTTAAACTAATTCGTAATTATTAAATAATCAAAAATAATATATTTTTTCTTTTCTCTAAATTGCATTAATAACACATATCCATAGCAACCAATTTAATTATTTGTTACATATGTTGTCATGGTAAATATCACTTTAATACTGATAAATACTGATTATATATTGAAAAAATGACAAAATTTATTATTTTTTTTAGTGTGTGTTGTACGCGCTAATAACCGAGTAGTTTGGCAAGTATTGCTTTTGTTTGTCAAAGTACTTAAAGGTTGTAGCCAACCGGATCAGAAACTGCCATTTGTTGTAATCACTATGGAAACGACATTAATCAAAGAGATTTATTATTCCTTGTTTTACATTGGTTGTTATGGTAAATTTCATTTTAATACTGATAAATAATGATTATATATATAGGAAAAATGACAAAATTTATTAAATTTTTATAGTGATGAATGTGTGTGTTGTACGCGCTAATAACCGAGTAGTTTGTCAAGTATTGTTTTTGTTTGTCAAAGTACTTAAAGGTTGTCGCCAGCCGGATCAGAAACTGCCATTTGTTGTAATCACTATGGCAACGACATTAATCAAAGAGATTTATTATTCCTTGTTTTTCATTGGTTGTCATGGTAAATTTCACTTTAATACTGATAAATACTGATTATATATATAGGAAAAATGTCAAAATTTATTACATTTTTATAGTGATGAAAGTGTGTGTTGTACGCGCTAATAACCGAGTAGTTTGTCAAGTATTGTTTTGGTTTGTCAAAGTACATAAAGGTTGTTGCCAACCGGATCAGAAACTGACATTTGATCATAGAGATTTATTATTCCTTGTTTTTCATTGGTTGTCATGGTAAATTTCACTTTAATACTGATAAATACTGATTATATGTATATAGGAAATATGACAAAATTTATTAAATTTTTGTAGTGATGAAAGTGTGTTGTACGCGCTAATAACCGAGTACTTTGTCAAGTATTACTTTTGTTTGTCAAAGTACTTAAAGGTTGTGGCCAACCTAATCAGAAACTGCCATTTGTTGTAATCACTATGGCAACGACATTAATCAAAGAGATTTATTATTCCTTTTTTTACATTGGTTGTCATGGTAAATTTCACTTTAATACTGATAAATACTGATGATTATATATAGGAAAAATGACAAAATTTATTAAATTTTTATAGTGATGAAAGTGGGTGTTGTACGCGCTAATAACCGAGTAGTTTGTCAAGTATTACTTTTGTTTGTCAAAGTACTTAAACATTGTAGCCAACTGGATCAGAAACTGCCATTTGTTGTAATCACTATGGCAACGACATTAATCAAAGAGATTTATTATTCCTTGTTTTTCATAGGTTGTCATGGTAAATTTCACTTTAATATTGATAAATACTGATTATATATAGGAAAAATGACAAAATTTATTACATTTTTATAGTGATGAAAGTGTGCGTTGAACGCGCTAATAACCGAGTAGTTTGTCAAGTATTGCTTTTGTTTGTCAAAGTACTTAAAGGTTGTCGCCAACCGGATCAGAAACTACCATTTGTTGTAATCACTATGGCAACGACATTAATCAAAGAGATTTATTATTCCTTGTTTTACATTGGTTGTCATGGTAAACTGATGTTGTCGTACATTGTTTCATGGTAAATTTCACTTTAATACTGATAAATAATGATTATATATATAGGAAAAATGACAAAATTTATTAAATTTTTATAGTGATGAAAGTGTGTGTTGTACGCGCTAATAACCGAGTAGTTTGCCAAGTATTGCTTTTGTTTGTCAAAGTACTTAAAGGTTGTCGCCAACCGGATCAGAAACTGCCATTTGTTGTAATCACTATGGTAACGACATTAATCAAAGAGATTTATTATTCCTTGTTTTACATTGGTTGTCATGGTAAACGCGTCGATGTTGTCGTACAGCAATAAACAGTTTCGCAAACAGATAATAAGAATTGCACCGGATATCAATAACGAAATCCAATAAGAGCGTTATTAAATTATGTGTAGCGTACATACATGGTAGTAGTAGTAGAAGTAGAAACATATTTGCTGCATGGCTTTGCCTCCTGAGTGTGTGTGTGTGTGTGTATGTTATTTATTTCGCCTCGTTCTCCGGTTGCATTACGGTAAAATTAATTTCGTAACCGGTGATGCGTGACCATAATCTCGGTCTAGAATTTCCACTGCAGGCTACAATCCTATTCCAACTATCCTTGTTCCTACTTCGCAAACATCTCAATCTCTCTCCTTCTCTATACATACTACACGTGTATGTATCTCCTCTCTATATAGTTTTATTACAAACAATAACAACAACAACAACAACAATAACAACAGATGAAGGAATAGTGAAATAAACGTTGCGTTTTCCCAAACCGAATTTCCCAACAATGCACACACGGTTTTCTCTCAATCTCGACCGAAAATTCCACTTCCCTCGTCATCCGAATGAGCGTTTTCATTCATTCATTCAATCATTCGTTGTTGAAATGTGTGTATTTCGTAGGTGAAACTTTCGTTCGGAGACAGAAAAGAGAAAAGAACGAAAAAAAAAACGTTTCGGAAAATTTGAATTCTGAAGATGAAGTCGAAGGAGGAACGACGCATTGTACATAATAAATTGGATATCGAATCTCTCCTCCTATTCTCCATTCAACCTTCTCTATTTTTCAGCACTTCGAAGCCCCAATTAACAAACTATTATGGATCCATTCTTCCCCATCAAACGCTCGACAAGCAATTCTCGTTTTCTTTTTTCCCACATCTTTCAATTTCTTTTCTTCATTCTGCGCGAGAGAAGGAAATCGTTAAATATCCAGGAAAGGAAACGAGACGCATGTATTCCTCGGACGAGAGAAAGAATAAAAATGAAAGAAACGAGAAAGTGTGTCTGTTGTCTCACTGGTGAAACTTTTCGATAATCAATCGAAACGATATTAAAGACAACAAAAAAAAACGAATTTCATTAAAGCAATTATCAAAAATTTATCTGAAATTAACATTATTTTAATTGAACTTTTTTATATTTTATATTTTTAATTTTATTTCTTTTGAGAAATTGAAGTTTACAAACTGCTTCACTCTAATGACACACATTACGTGAAATCTTGTACTTTCAATAATATATAGAATTTTCGTATAAAACTTTGTGTGTTTTCTATAAGACAATTATTAAGTCGTTATGAGAAATCTCGTACTTTCGAATCATAAATATAAAAATTTTGTCAATGATTTTCTTTACTGTTAATTTTTTATATTCAGTGATGAAAATACACAATTAGTGTCTATATATTAATAAAAAAGTGTAATTTGCGAAGTTGATGGTGAATTTATGATCTTTCTTAGTGCGGTTTTTATTACGAAAATTAACGTTTTTAAAAGAAAATCTTTCAAATTTGTTATGCGGTTAAATTCGCGAGTCTATTGTGTGAGATTCTTGCTATTGTATTGTTTCTTCACATCAAGCATTTTTTGCGACAATTGCAAATGTCTGTTACTTATTAATTATTAATTGATTAAATTATGAATTTAAAGGTTTGAAGGAAAGAAACATTAATTTAAAGACTTAGAAATTAGTGTGCGAGGAGGGTTTTTTTTTTTTGGATAAATTTGAATAAAATGAAGTCCGTTTGAATTGATAAGTGCAGAGAGGGAAGAAATTTTGTTTAAAAAAAAAAGGAGGGAGGAAATGAAGTGGGCGAAAAAATGTAGGAGTTAAAGGAGCGTAATTTGAGTGGATTAAAAGGAATTAAAGAAGTGCAGTCAATTAGGGTGAACAAAAAAAAAAAGAAAAACGGAAAAAGTTACTTCAAAAAGGAGAAGGACTTTAAATGAATGCACCCTAAATGCTAATTAGAAGTAAGATTATTGTTATGTAAAATTGGATTGAATGAATTAGTTAAATTAAGACAATTTTGATTATTACGAAAGATGGAAAATTGTACTTTAAATATTGCAAATAATGTTGTTTGCTCAAGGTAGATGCAAAACTCGTTTTTCGAATAGATTGCTCTCGATCTACGAAACTATACACATTGACTTTCATTTTTTTTTTCTCTTTGCATCTCTCTTCCACACGCACTCGTAACTACAACAGACGAGAGAATACGTATCGATGTCTAACCTTGATCTCCTTCTGTTTCATTTCAGTTCCACTTTTTTTTTCTTATCGATCGTGCAGATTTCGTGCCCTTCAGTAAATACACACAAAAAAAATGATGTATGATCAAGTAACCTAATTTGGTTTAATTTCTATGTTACATTCTTTTGTTGTTTCTCTCATTGCTACTTGATTTTAATCTTTAAAGGTTAAACGTTTCAGCTAAATGTTCTATATTTGCATAATTTTGGCATCGCTATTTAAGTTTCATTGTTTAGTTTTAAAGCTTACGTAATTTCGTTTGTAATGTACAGATGTTTTCCAAAAAAAATGAAGTTACGTAATTTTAATTCTTTTGTTTTATACAATAGAAAATATTAATCGAATTGAAATATTTTATCAAAAAATAATAATAATTAGAACTTAAGTCTACTTAAGATTTAAAAATTTATCAAATACTTAAGTTTAGTTAAATGGTTAATTTTGGGTCAACAAGAAGTGCACGAATGAATGCGAAATTTAGGATCTAATCCTCTTCATCCTCGAGCAATTTTCGCTATTTATTTTCTTCGCTTCTATGTATTCTTACCCAAAAGGACGATCAGAAGAAGGTTTCGGCCGTTGGTGATGGACACGGCCATGGTTATTTCGGTTCTTCCCTCTCGCACAACAAACAAGAGCACACCTTCACCAAGTCCCCGAAGACTTTGTACCAATTTTTGTCTTCTGATTTTTTTGATTTGTCGCGCGACTACAGAGAGTGTATCTGTCTGTCCGTCCACTCGAAGAACCGTGCTATTATAACTGGTCGAGAGTGTGCCTCACTCGCTTTGAAGACAACTCCCTTCCTTCTTTTCTGGCTTCTGGTGTTTTCAGTGTATGTTCTCTCATTTGTACAACAACAACAGCTCTTCGACTTCTCTCACTCTCTACCCAGTTGACGACGATCTTTCACTTCTGTTCTGTTCTGCTCCTTTTCTCTCACAGTTTGCACCGTTCTCGCCGATCATCAATAACTACTCTGTTTCGCAAAGTTCGTTTGAGAACTGTTTTTATTTTTCTTCTTCTTCACGCGCGCCGGAAAAACCACTAGTTGTAACGAGACTTTGTTTGGGGGAAAAGTTAAAGTGCCTTGTAACTCTGCCCGCGAAGGTATTTCTCACTTTAGTCACAAAAAAAAGAATGAAGATGAATCTCTTCCTCGGTACAGATTTACACATTGCATTCGCAACGTTTGTTATGTAACAAATTGAAATTTCTGTGTTATCATAGCAACAGTTACCATGGATTTAGATGACATATTAAGGTTTCATGATGTTGGTAGCAATTGCACTTTTAGTGACGAGTCGAAACGAAATTTCCGGAATTCCAATAAGCGCGCTTCCGGCGAAATGCTTTCATTTATTTATTTATTTATTTATTCGTTAGTCAATTTTAATTTGCGCAAATCGATTGCCGGATTCCCAATTAATTTGCGTATTTCATATATGTATATTTTATTTACCCATTTTTTTTTTCCCATTTCATGCATACCGAAAATTTATTATTGTCGGCGTTGTCCATTCCGACGGATATGTTTAGTTTCAATTAACAACATCCATCTCTTTCGCGTTTGTTTCCGTTGCCATTGTTGTTACTGTTGCAGTTTTGTTTCATGCGATTTCATTGTTTCGATGCGCGTCGCCGCCTCCTCTCCCAGATTTCATTAATTGCCTTTGATTTACACGATCGGATTTGCGCAAACATCCATTTTGTTTCAATTGTTTCCAATGGTAATACGAGAGTTTCAATTTTTTCCAAATCCAAATTTAATATTCAACATGAATTTTGTTGCGCAGTTGTTGTTGTTTTTCTAAATTAAAATTAATTAATTAAATAATTTACAAATAGAAAGTGCAATAAATCTGCGATTTTATCTTAAAATCTAAAAGAAATTTCGAATCTGCTGTGAATTTACTTAAATGATTGTGAATATTACTTAAGTCTTTTTTTATAAAATTTGTTATTGAATGTTTAGTTAGGATCTAGTAATCGGTTTTCGAACAGATAATGCGACGGTCTAAAACAATTTGATTATATTTATGTGCGCCAATTTCCATACCGAGTTTGCGAAGCGGATTTTGGGGACGACGTCGAAGTTTGGACGATGTCGCAAAGTGATTTGGGAATCTATTAAATCGCGGAAATATCCTTTGAAAACGGTGGATGGATGGATATGGTCGATGGTTGGTGATGGGTTTGTTCTGCAGAGTTTCAATGGCGTCGCAAAATCAAGTAATCCGAACATTAAATTGGGTTAACGTCGCATAACCAATACCTAATCCATCCATCGATGCTGGCGCCCTCTGCAATCTCGGAACTTTATCAATCCATCCCTATAGTTGGCAATAATTATTTAAAGAAATGAATTTTGTGCGTTTTTTTGGAATTGAATTCATTTTCTCTAATTTCCGTATCCATTCATCGATGCTGGCGCCCTCTACAATCTCGAAACTTTATCAATCCAACCCTATAGTTGGCAATAATTATTTAAAGAAACTGGTTGAATTTTGTGCGTTTTTTTTGGAATTGAATTCACTTTCTCTAATTTCCGTATCCATTCATCGATGCTGGCGCCCTCTACAATCTCGAAACTTTATCAATCCATCCCTATAGTTGGCAATAATTATTTAAAGAAACCGGTTGAATTTTGTGCGTTTTTTTTTTTGGAATTGAATTCACTTTCTCTAATATCCGAGTCGCGCGACTCGACTCGTAAGTCGTATCACACGCTAATCATAATTGAAAAATAATAATTTATAACCCGGAGCCAAAAGTGAGAGTGGATTTGATGACTCTTTCTTTCTTTCTCTCTTCGGATTAAGACTTAACTCCATAACTTCCTAAACTAAGCAACTGAGCAAACATAGTAAACCGTAATGAGATGAACTTCTCCATTTGAAACTCGGAAGTTTCGAAACGTTTGTACGAGAAGATCGAAAGATTAATCGAAAATAATTAATTAATCCGAACAATTTACATAATTGCTTGTCTCATTTTTTGTTTTCGATTATTATTTTGTTTTTTTTTTTGTTGTTGTTTAATCACAGCTCGCCGCGATTAGAGATCATATAAACGTAATTTAGAAAGTTTCCATTGTGCGTGTGAATATCTTTATTATGAGACAAGTTTATGTATCTAGTTTTACTCTTGCAACATCACAATAAAATACACGTGGTGTTTCCATCAGAATTTGATGCATTTTTTTTGTTATCTTTGAAAATTTGTTATATGTATGACTTAACTTTATCACATTTTTGATAACCATTTTCGCAGATTTATATTTTTACTTCAAAGAAACTCTTTTTTTCTACAGTGGTAGCTCAGTGTGGAACTCAAGTTTTAAAAATGATGTAGCAGGAGAAAAATCTGGTAATTCTCTTCTCATCGTCACTCGTTAAGCGAAATTGTCGTTATGCGAGGTTCCACTGTATTAGTAAGTTGGAAAAGTCAACGATTTTGGAACCAAAATTTGTTGTGCAAATTGCGTATTGGTATTAATTAATAGAGATATGAGATTTGTGCACGATGAGGGAGAGAGTGGACGAGAGTTATTGGCTTTGGAGATTTACGGATGCCGCAATGAATCAAAGAAAACATAAATTGCATCCGACGATAATTCGCAATAAATTCAATACAACGGCGAAGCAGCAATCGAGAGAGATATATAAATGGACGCACAGAGTTCGCAATTAAACTTAATTAATTGATCCATTCTTTTAAAATGTTTCGTTTCACTTCAGTTGAATAATCATAGACATCTGTGTGTGTTTGTATGAAAGTAATATTTGTCATTATTATAGCTTGATTATACGATTTTATTTGTATTGAAAATTTGTTGATTGTCTTAATGTATTTGTTGGTACAATTAGATGCATAATGGTCATCCTCTGACACGTTTAAACACTACAAACATGCGAACATTGCACACTTGATCGATAACCAATTAGCATGGAATCCTCTTAACAAATACGGCGCATAACGCAATCGAAATCAATACCGAAGACCTAATACAGACAGTACACAAAGACACAGAGAAAGAGAGAGAGAGAGAGAGAAGGGTAATTACGTAATGTAGATATGCACGTTGCGAATGGAGAGAGACGAAAGGATAAACAATTGGTTGCGTTCTTCAATTAACCTTGCCACGTATCAGGACGACAATAAATCTCACCTACAAACGACGTTTAAGGAATTCGCAATTCATATTAATTATCGTTAAATGTAAATTCATTTCAAGAAGAAACAAAAAATGAGTTAGTGGTGTACCCCAAGGAAGTGTTCTCTACCCTTCCATGTTTGTCAACTTTGACTGATTATTACAGGAAAATTGTTAATATCACAAATTTGAATGTAGAATCATTGGAAAGAGTAAACTTTCGTTATCAAATTGGATGCACAATCATCTAATTGGTTTATTTAATTATCGAATAATTTAACAAAATTTGAAGACGTAATTTTACCTTTTCTCAACTTTGACTGATTATTACAGGAAAACTGTTAATATCACAAATCTGAATGTAGAATAATTGGAAAGAGTATACTTTCATGTTATCAATTTGGATGCACAATGATCTAATTGGTTTATTTAATTATCGAATAATTTAACAAAATTTGAAGACGTAATTTTACCTTTTCTCAAATTTGACTGATTATTACAGGAAAACTGTTAATATCACAAATCTGAATGTAGAATCATTGGAAAGAGTAAACTTT